TTTTATTTTACTAATTTGTGATATACCCTGTTTATTGTTGTACAGATGTATTGGCAGGTAAGTTTGAGAACACTATATATGTTATTGTACCAAAGGTATAAAGGTTAAATATATGTTTTGCTGAACAATGATTATTTTTCATAAAATCATCTTATCTACTAACTTCACTAAATATGGGAAGATGTGTCTATAATTGCCACACATTGAACCATAGAAATATTCGATACCAATATGTATAACTTTTTAATTTCGATAGGAATATTCAATACCAATATGTATAACTTTTCAATTTATATTATGTAATCATTTTGAATAAACTTCATTATTATTCATTATCATTCTATAATATCATCTGTTCAAATGCCCGTTTCCTCCTCAGATTCTTCTTAATCTTCAGGTCATGTGTTCCTGAAGGAAGGAGTTCCTCTTCAGCATCATATTCAAAACTACATTGATGAGTCTGAAACTATAAAAATATTTTATATCTATTTTGTCCCCAGTTTCAATGATCTGTACCATTCTGAAATGAATTTAATGACAATTGACTATGGAACAATTTTTAGAGGTCCCAAAGTCAAGTTCTTGGTAATTTTTGTACTGAAACTAATAGTTCCAGTCAACTAGAAACTGATAAGCTGATTGCTACAAAGAGTTTGTATAGGTGGGAACTTGTTAAATATCATTTTATTTATATATACCTTCCTTTAACAAACTTGGAACCGAACCCTCCTTCCAAAACCGTTTCCAATTCTTCATTGGCAAGAAACAGTTCCCTTAAAATGTTGGAAACATACAGTATCATGTTCGCTCACTTCAAAAACTCCCATTCCTGAAATATCGATGCATCAAGTTTAAAATATTATGCGATTCAAGAAAAAATTTCACCTTGCAATCCAATGAATATGGCATAAACTCATTGATGCCTCAGGATTTGTGTCTCAAATTCACAACAGTGAGGATAGGGGAAACCAGGTCTTGATAATTTTACACCTCCACCTCCTGGAGTGCGAAGTTATCAGATAACATTGCAAAATAACACAATCGCACTCACGAACCAATCAACAAACTGCATTAGAAAACCAATACTGGAAGAAATAATTAGGAATAATTTTAATTTTCAAGAATACGAATTCAAAGTATAACATACTCACAAAGACAAAGTTATAAGTTAATGACAACTGTCAGAAAATAATTTTTTGATCATGACATCTCAATCTCATGAAAGAATCTTCTTCATCGCCTTTGTATCAAATATCACGTCAATGATGGAAAGCACATCTGTGGTTGAGTACATATTGGAAAAAAATAGAAGAAGAGAATATCAACCTGATATGGTCTATTTTGACATAAACAAATGAGCTCTTTCCATTTTCTCATCCCCAGCGCCACTTGACAGACAGACATATTTTGATTGAATGAATAGACAATATTATTCCTCCTCGCACTAGGTCGCCTACTAGGTTTTCATTTAGATCGACAATGATTTGGTGACCGAGGTTCACTAATCCGAAAGTGTGTTATAGCATATAGAATCAGTATCAGACTATCAATAATGAATTTTGAAGTTTGAAATTTCAAATCGAACATGGAAGATATAAGAAACCAATCAATGGATTCGAAAAACGAATTGGAGGCAACGAGCAGCTATACCAGCTGCTATAATTATTGGCTGAAACTGAGAACAAAATTTTTCGAAAAAAAAAACTATTATTCATCATTTACTTGAGATCATTTTCATTGACTTTGATGAAACTTGTCATGCTTCGCTATAAGTGAAATGAAATTTTTGATTCCAGTGGCGTGCCAGTGGGCAATCGAATCTATATTCACCTTGCTTCGTTTTTGAGGAAAACCACACAAAATCGCAGTGCCATACAATAATTATTTTCATCATCAATGATTGGTGTGTGAAAGTAGAGAATAATGCTGACGGGTGAAGATATGATAACCCTAATAACACACGTTATCCAGACGACATCCATTTTATATCCATTCGCCGTCCAAGACATCCATGGACGCCAAATGGAACTATCTTTTGATGTACATTGTTGTATATCCAGCTGATGATCTAGTATGTACTCCATCTGGAAGCCTATCTATGTCCATGGACGCACATCGAATAGCCACATGGATGTCCATACCGGATACTTGGCAGTACATATTGGACATCCATGAGTGTATTGTCGGGATGTCCATTGTAGCGAGAAATTTTGAGAAGAGTGAAATGAGGAGAAGAAGATCTGAATTCATCTGTCAGAATTCGAAATATAATGTAGGTTATGTTTATTTCATTCATTCATTTTGGTGGACTTTCATGATAATTACTAGTATTTTATAGTTGAATTACGCCCAAGTTTCCTGCTTTATACGGCCTTCATACAAGTAAGTTATTATTATTTCTGTGTCTATTCAGGTGTTCCTAATTGCGAATTGTTACATAACATATTTCTTGGATAGGTAGGTAAAACACCCTTCACTAGAATGAACAGAAGGAAAAGGATTTGAAACAGGTTCTTCCGACGTATCTTCTATGAAGTAGAAAAAAATTCATCGGATGTTGACAAACTCTTGAATGATACGACAACAGATGATGTGTGGGCAAGAATCACTGACAATTTCGCAGTTTAAGGAATTTTCATCTTGGGGCCAATTATCTTACTCGTCGACCTAAACCGACGATACAAATTTATGGAACACCTTTTTCACAACATGTGGCTCTTGCATGATGAGGCTCCACCACATTTTACTCTGAATATCCATTGCTGTTTCATTCAACAGTTTTCAGATAATGAGTAGATGAAACGGCAGAGGAAATATACTATAGTTTATGGGAAGCAGTACCTGTAAAGTTTAAGGTGTACTTCAGACCATTAAATACTGAACAGGAATTATGGAGACGGATTCAGAATGCATTGAATATTTCCAAAAATAATGCAAAAACGATGCAAAATATGCATTTCAGTTTTTGTGCTGCCAGTGAATTGGACCACTTCTTTTTCAATTTATCATCCTGAGTAGGTACTATCTATTTTTTTATTATATTATATACTTTAGGTTTCACCCATGAACAATGTTTGAAATAAATGAAAATAACATAACCTGTCTTTTGAATACGTATAGGTTGGTATATATTATGTCCATTATATGGACACCATATGGATGTCCATAATGGACACCAAATGGATGTCCATAATGGATAACGTATGTATGTCCTAAAATGTGGAAAGCTGATATCCTGTGGACATCCATAGGATGTCCTGTGTACACAAAGTGGTTATCCTATAGATGTCCAGGATGTCCGGGTGAGGATATCCATTGGATGTCCAATGGATGAAGGTGTGTTATTAGGGAAACTTCTTCAAATAACATTTTTTGATATTCAGATATTGTTAATTGTATGATTTGCATGAAGTGTGACCTAAAAGGTTCATTGATAAATAGATGGATGTTTGTTCTCCACTGTGGTAGATTCAATACATATGGTATGTCGAAAATAATGAATACACAATCATCTAATTATATAAATGAGAAAATATAACGTCATATATCACAACAAGATAAGAAATGGAAGATAAACATATATCTCATGCAATACTTGTGACGTTGTCGTGTCAATGGGACGTGGAAAATTGGACGCACGACTATTGGTCGCAGTCAATTGGACGCGGCGACAATTGGACGCGGCGACAATTAGACGCGGCGTCAATTAGACGCGGCGACAATTCGACGCGGCGACAATTCAACGCGGCGACAATTCGACGCGGCGACAATTGGACGCATGCGTGAATAAAAATAATTTTATAATTCCAATGAAATTCATTGTATAAAATATGAAATACTGATGGGCTTATATCCATAATTATAACAAATACCTGACAGGTTAGGTTAGGTTAGGTATTTGTTATATTATAGATATGAGCCCTGCATATTTCATGCAATAAATTTCATTGGAATTATAAAATTATTTTTATTTTCGCATGCGCTCAATTGTTGCCGCGTCCAATTTTCGTCGCGTCCAATTGTCGCCGCGTCCAATTGTCGCCGCGTCCAATTGTCGCCGCGTCCAATTGTCGCCGCGTCCAATTGTCGCCGCGTCCAATTATCCGCGTCCAATTTTCGTGCGTCCAAATGACCACGTCCAATTGTCGGTAATCCGTTCTGATGTAAGGTTTGAATTCATATTCAACTATAGTCATAATATTTCCATGAATCCTTTCTTAGTAACATGACATTCTTGCAGGAGCAGGTCTTCATTGGGTATATTATCTAATTCTCTATCAGGAATTATTTGTGCCTTGGACATTGGCAGTATATTGTAGGAATTGGTCGCAATAAATAATGGAGAATTTTAGGTATTCGGAAGCCTTGTGATTTGTTATTCTTGTATTGAAATTTGTGAACACTCATTGAATTCATTTGTAGCCCTCGTGGATTACTCCTAGCAGAACTGATACATTTCAGAATATACACTCAGGGAGCAAGCTGTTAATAGTTTTTCTCATATTAATATCAGCTCACAAATCTCCAGGTAGTGCAAATTGGAGATTAGCCCCAAAATACGTTTCTTTGTCAAGAAAACCCTAGAGAATTCACTAGAACAACCCTATTCTATAATATTCGATGACATATATGTGAATAAGCCATAGCAAAATATATATTCATAGTGGACCTGGTGTGTCCAAACATATTTTCATTTGCTCTATAGCAAGAAAAGTTTCGTTCAGTTTATCGCAGATATCGTTTATTGCTAGATTTCGAGCTATATTTACATCTGAGTGAGTTCCTAGAAATGTCTCTCCACTCCTTATATTCATCAATGATTTCAAGACAATTTATATCATTATTTCAGCAATGAATTTTTGATTGCTTCAGTCCTCTTTCCTCGCCCTTCCTTTTTTTATCATCAAAGAGACTGTTCTGCACTCGAAATTAGATAGATATACGATGTTTGATGGATATAAAAAATAATTGGATGACAATAAGAACAGTCAAAAAATTAATGAATTCATAATAATTTATTTTCATTCCATTCGATGACAATGTTCACATGTTCACAAAATAAATAAGTCAGTCGAGAATTGCAATTTAATTAGCTAGCTATATACAGTGAAGGAACAATGATATAAGAACTCAATAGGTATCATATATACCCTTGCCGTACTTGACATACAGATTATCCCAAAAATCCATTCTGTCCTTGAATGGATTTGACTCAATGGAAATATTCACGTCTATGTTGAAGTAATTCAGTCTATTCGGTTTAGCAATCGGCCATTTTTTGTACTGGAGTAGAGGGTCTTTCACTGGTGTTGGATTCCTGGAAACATAAATGATGAACTGTTATTTTTATGACGTGTTTTCATGTTTCACGAGCGAGGGATCGTACTCGACGAGAAATACAAACTAACTTAATGATACAAACATAGTGGCACTACCAGGTCAGCTGCAAGCAGAGAGTTAAGCAGTGAGCTGAGCAGCAGGAATCACATATAAATTGATTCCTAGTTTTATCAGTTGCTCAAATGAATTCTGATACTAAGGATGAAATGTTGTTGAATTGTTGTGTGTGGTCGTGGGTTACGTTCGAAAGAGTTAGATGCACATTATTGACCTTAATCATCGCAAATAAATCATACCCTGTTTCAAAAACTTTGAAATCACCCAGAAAGATTCGTCGAATATATTCGTATGGACTGCACTATATTTGACTATATACGGATCAAATCATTGCCATAACTGCAATGTACACGGACCAATTCCATACACACTGAGACTGGAGTGTGAGGCGTTTGCTACTATAACATCTATCAAAAAGGAAATCCTGAATGCAAATCGTTCATAAATGCCTTACTACCATTCCTGGATGAACGCATCGTGACTTCTGATGGGAGCTCGCATTTCAAGAGCATGTCTGGAAATCGAGCAGCACTGCTCCTCACACAGCACATGACGTCTGTTGGAGATCCATTCGAATTCCGAACGTCCATGGGCATTGAAATGATATCCATTGTACGTACAAACATGGATAACCATTGAATTCTTCGAATTGTATGTCCATTGGACGTCCAAAAATAAATCTTCGGGAGATCATGTAATAACAAATGAACTTATGAAAGATCTATTCTGTGTGATTGGGTATCCACTTCTATATCTGGTGAATACTTCTCTTCAAACTGGCAAGATGTCAACAGAACTGAAATGCAGCTTGATCGTACCTGTACCAAAAGTTAGATGTTCAAAAAAGCCTGAAGATCTTTGGCCTATAAATCTATTGCCGGTTGTAGAGAAGGTGATAAAAATAGTTGTCCGTGAGGAGCTGAGCTGTTACTTGAGGCAAAATGAAATTCTATACGTTGGACAATCAGGATTCCGAGAAAACCACTCTTGCGAAACGGCATGTCAATATGTTTGTTCAAAATGGAGGAAAGAGATCGATGAAGGGAACGTTGTGGTCAGTGTTTTTGTGGACTTGAAACGAGCGTTTGGAACTATTGATCGAGAATAGTTGCTGAATAAATGTGAAGAGTATGGAATGAAGGGTGTCGTGTTGAAATGGTTAAGAAATTATCTTGAAGACAGATTTCAAACAACCAAATATCAAGATCACTGTTCGGAAAAAGTTGGGACTGAATATTAGGTGCCTCAAGGCAGTGTATTGGGTCCGCTATTGTTCATTTTGTATATCAACGATTAGGCAATGCTTTACAAAATTCTTTTGTCAATATGTTTGCTGACGATACTCTGATTTCGATATGTGGAAAAAATCATGAAGAAGTAGTTATTCAAATGAATGCAAAACTCAAAGAATTAAGGAACTGGTTTAAATATAATAGGTTGAAGCTTAATGTAAAGAAAACGAAATGTATGGTTCAGGGCTCAAGAAATAACTGTAAGTCATTCTCAAACGAAAACCACGTTATTCATATAGAACAGGAAGTGATTGACTTTGTGCAGGAGATTGGGTACTTAGGGGTACAAGTAGATTCATATTTGAACTTTGGGCCCCAAGTGAATAATATTTGAAAAAAAATAGGGAAAAAATTTGGATATTATGGAAGAATATCTAGAAAACTAACATTTTGGACTAGAAGAGTAGTATAAAACACCATTATTTATCCACATTTTCAATATTGTATGTCTTTACTCACCTCTTGTACAAAGAGTGATATACAGAGAATTCAAAAGCTGCAAAATAAGTGTATGAGAATATTACTCCAATGTGATAGACACACAAAGATTACAGATATGCTTAGGATGCTGAAATTTCCAAATGTTGAAAAAATGATCGAAGAATCAAATTCAGTACTGATATACAAAATCATGAACAAACAGGCTCCTATGTATCTGCAATCTTTCCTTGTGAAAAGATCGGAAATGCATAGATATAACGTCAAGTCAAGAGAAAATTTCCATATAGCAAGACGTCATTCGAATGTTCTACAAAAATCTCTTTTCGTCCAGGGATTGCATCATTTCAACAGCCTTCCACTTATTGTCAAAGTTGCACCAAATATTAAAATTTTCAAGAATATGTTACGAAAAGTTTACTTTAAGATTTAGTATAGTTAATACGTATAGTTAATAGTTATTTCAAGAATTTATACTTTGTAAATATGTTTATAATTGTGAAAAATATGATGTGAAACCAGCGAAAGCTGAATAAATCTTTCAAATCAAATCAAATCTTATGTTCACCTCTCCATGAAAGTAGAATGTACGTCCATCGTACTCATGAAGATGGACGAACAATATTTGTTTCAAAATCAACGTCCGTTGGCCAATCATTTTACTCCACCTCAAGGAATTTCTTTTCATGGACGTTTGATCAAGATTCATTGTACGTAGGAGGATTAACGTACATTGGATGATACACATTGAACTTCAATTATATGTTCATTTCACGGCCATTCTCAGTTCAAGTATCCATGGATGAAGAATTAATGAGTATAATATGAAGAATAGTTCAAACTTGTTAGATATTAAGATTCTGTATAGAAATGGTTTATATTTCAGTTTATTCATAAAATGTATCGAACTATTGTAGCTGTAAAAAACCCGAACGTTTTTGCATGCTTGCCCGGTGTTCGCTGTATATGGATTTAATTCCTGAGTAATAAATTAGCAGTTCGTAGAATCGAAGTATTTTTCTTTTGAATGTTTGCCCTCAGATTCGTATCCATATTGATACTGGGTTCAAACATAACATTTGGCGACGAGGTTTTATTAAGAACTCACGAAATTGAAGTGAAAGTAGTTCGGAGTGTAGTGCAAAGTTTTTTTTGTTTATAAAAACGTTATTCACGTGTTTGAATCGGTGAAATAATGGCAACACCTGTAGCAACGGGTCTTTTAGGATCTTTAACAACTTTCGACCCAAAAGACTCGGATTTTACTGTGTTCAATGAAAGACTCAAGCAGTTTTTTATTGCGAACAAAATCACGGAAGGGGAGTTGAAAAGGGCAATTTTGCTGAACACTCTTTCGGAAGATTGCTACGTATTGATACGCAATTTGTGTGTACCGGACCTGCCGGAAACTAAATCATATGAGCAATTAACAAAAATATTTAGTGATCATTTTTCACCGATGAAATCTTATTTCGCGGAAAGACTCAAGTTTTATTCTGCCCGTCGGATGTTAAATGAAAGTGTATCCGAGTGGGAAGCCAGAATAAAAAGTTTAGCTGCAAAGTGCGGATTTCGAACCGAACTAGAAGTTGTGATGCGTGATGTGTTTGTGATCGGCATTAATGATGAGAAGATTCTGGATCGCATATTCGAAGAGGATGCCTCTCATGCTGATACTACCCTCCAGAAAGTGGTCAGATTGGCTTTGAACAAGGAGTCAGCTATGAAAGAGCGTTGTAGTAGAGAATCTCTGGGAGCCGTGGTCAAAACCGAAGCGGGGATGAATTATCATCGCCAGAGGAAAGCACCATTGCCCAAAATGCACCGCCCTCTCACCGGTGGTACCAACAACAGCAGTAGCAGCGGGGGACCTTGGAAGCAGGGCGGAAGTCAAAAGTTCGTAAGCAAAAACAACAAATTCCAGTCTCAAAGTAAGTGCATAGTTTGTGGACGAAGTAATCACGTGGCAAAGGATTGTGCGTTTGAAAACTGTCATTGTCACAAATGTGGGGTAAAAGGACATTTAGCCCCACAGTGTGGAAAATCATCAGAAAATTTTTTGTCTGATGCGGGCAACCAGTCGGAAAATGAGTCCATTTTCAATCTGAGTGAAATAAGCCCGAATATCTCAGATGATCAGGGTAATGTCAAACCCACTTATGTAAAGTTGATTGTGGAAAATATTCCCTGAGCTTCGAGGCTGATTCTGGTTTTGCTCACTCAGCAATTTCTGAGAAAATTTATTTAAAGCATTTTCAAAATAGAATTTTAGAGAAAAATGATTTATCACTGAAAGATTATGTTGGAATAACTATCGAACCTTTAGGCTTTATTCATTTAAATATTAAATTTGAAAAACAATCGTATGTACTCAAAACATATGTTGTCAAAAATGGAGGCCCTCCATTGATAGGACGAAATGGGTTGAAAATGTTGAAATTAGGCATATGTAAAATCAATAATATAAGTAATGAGGAAATTGACAAAGTAAATTCTTCTGTCAAGATTAACGCTTTGCTTTTGAAGTACCCAGATATTTTTGATGGATCCCTTGGAACATTTAATGAATTTGAAATTTCATTGAGAGTGAAACAGGGCACAATTCCCAAATTTTGTAAACCAAGGGCTGTTCCATTTGCACTAAAGCCAAAAATAGAGAATGAAATTCAGAGGCTCGTAGATAATAAAGTTTTAGTTCCGACGGAATTCTCAGAATGGGCAACACCCATTGTCCCGGTTCTAAAGCAAAATGGTAGCATAAGGATATGTGGCGATTTTAAAATAACGTTAAATCCACATTTGATTATTCAGCATTTTCCACTGCCACGTATAGAGTATTTATTTTCCCAACTACAGGGTGGTGCCAAGTTTTCGAAAATAGATTTGTCGGAAGCGTATCAGCAGATAATTCTAACGGAAGAAACGCGAAAACTTGTCACCATCACTACTCATAAAGGGCTTTTCTCATATACACGCTCACCTTATGGCATTACTAGCGCTCCTGCCATCTTTCAGAATATTATGGATCAGCTATTTGTGTTTCCTGGGGTTGTATGTTTTTTAGACGACATTTTAGTCACAGGGAAAAATGATAGCGAACATTTGGAACGGCTTGAATTAGTTTTTGCAAAGTTACAGGAGTGTGGTTTGAAGGTAAAAAAAGAGAAGTGCAGTCTATTTCAGGAATCAG